TTTAAGTAAGTTCCTTATTAATTTTAAGTTCTTTATAACCTTTTGCCTGTGCTATGTTGTGAATATTTTTGCCTAGTTCATCACTTACCTTGTGACTTCATTTTTCATTCAAATGTTTTTATTTTAAAGAGGTTAATGTTTTCCTTAAATTGCATCTGGCTATACATATATGAGCATAGTTATAGCTACAGCAACAGTTATAGTATAAATTATAGTATGCATACTATAGAGTATATAACAAAGTATGTACATATAACTTTTGTTTCCATATGTATCAGTATTTATTTGGTTAAATGCCTATTTCATTAATGTCTATACTCATTGAAATCATGGAATGATTGTTAATTTTTTTAAAATATTATTTTCTTGAGTATGGAAGCCATAAGCTCCAAACTGGCCACCCAAAAGAGGTACTCAGGAGAAATCGATTCCCATATGCAATTATGTCAGATTCAAATCTATTAGGCATCAAATCATATCCCTTTGAATCAGCTTTCTGTAAAAATGATCCAATGTAACACACTCCCCTAGAAGAGTGGAATTATGTTAGTACCACACTAAATGGTTCTATCTTAGATGGAATTCTCAAACCCCAGTTCTTCTTCCTCACTCAATTTTAATCAAACAGATTTATATCTAGAAGATATAAGATATACAATGAGGAGGTAACTCTTGCACATGGTTCCCAGGGCTACTATCAATTTCTCTTCACCCTTCATGTAGCTGTTGTTCCATTCACTCTCCCCTGCTTTCCAAGTGCTTAGAGTATTTCCGTAATAGCTGAGTGTCATCATAGTGAAAGGCATGACCAGTTTTATTTGTTGGTATGACGTTGGTGATAAATGGAGAATTGTCTGACAGAAATCAAAGCTAAAGTACAAAGTCTTATGGCACTTACCAAGGATAGTTGTATGGGCCCCACCCAGGTTCTCTTCTTAATGTCGTAATCTTGGATTTTCAAAATTCCCCTTTATTCTCCTCAGTGTTCCTCTCCCTATAATCACAGCTCAAAGAGAGTTTAAGCAAACATGGGGAAAATAAATAAGTAAAGGAGGCAAAGAATGTAACAGAGGTTCAAAGGTCACAAAAATGCAGACTGGGGGGAAATAATTAGGTTCTGTTGTTCTACTTCATTTGCACTAAACTAATGTCCAGACCCATCACAGAAACCCTAGCTAGGGTTTAAGAGTAATTTCAGGAGTATTCCTTGTTCCTGACCTTGCCTAGGGCTGCATTTTCTCTCTGGTTCTTTTTTCTTGGTTGCAGCATATAGCATGGAGCCTTGTTTTATAATCACAGATCCTGCTTCTTTGCAGGAGGTGAGAAATAAAATGCCCTGTTTTCACCATCTCACCATGTGTTTCTGGCTGGAATATCAGCCAGTTTCTGCCAGTTAATGTCTTTTTCTCCCACGATGGCACTTTAGCTGTCCATTTCCACTCTCTGCTGGTTGACACAGCCATGACTGCTCTTGTCAAAAACTCAGTTATGTATGTCAGCCCTCAGAGAACAGAACTTCTGTCTGTGCAGATTCAACCTTCATGTCTAAGTCAAAGTGACTCTCCTGTCAGAGTGTCAAGAAGTTTTCCCCTAAAAACTAGCTCCTTGATCCTTGGAGACAATGTCCTTTTATTATCTCTGGCTCTGGTCAGTTTCTCTAAGCTTTCTTCCAACTGCTCGATACTCTCTTTTCTCATTTCCTAATTAATATTTTAAAAAATGTTCTTAGTCAACCCACTTTCACAGTCAATTGTTTCTACTTTTTAATGCTGTTTCTGTCAATACTTTTCGTAATATATTATCTGGGGATTAAAAACATCAAGTTAGCTCGAACAAGCACAAAACATCTCTTGTCTATAGTAAAAAGAGGTATAAAAACAATTAAATATCATGATATAATGGAAATTGATCATCCCCTAGACTGAAATCAAAGAGCTGGGTCATCATCTTGTCTAGAGCACTTATAGTTATGTGACCTTGGACAGATCAATTTCACAGGACCTCAAGTCTTTACTAACTCTAATATGCATCCTGGTCAAACATTTTAAGGATTTTTAAAGATCTATAATGCAAAATTTACTTGATAAAGTCAACCATCTGCTTCTCAGTAAAACGAGATGCTAAATCAAAGGAGAGACTATTTTTGAGCAAGGTACATATTTTATCTTTACCATACAGTCTTGGATATGATTCAAAATATGCTTAATCTGGACTTGCATGTATAACAGCTGCTGCAATAATCCTGTGTAGGAGTCACAAAATTTTAGTGATATATATGTTTTAATTTTTGTGCCTTTGAAATAGACTGGAGGTTGGTTGATACAGACTGGTCCTGCCTTGGTGGCTTTGCTCCACTGAATGAGTCTTACGGCTTTCTGAGAGTGAGCAAGTCAGCCTGGAAAATGTGTTTCTCATGGTAATAGCAGAGAATAAGAGTGATCATACAACCTTTCAACTTCTGGTTATCATGTCCATAATATGCCTTTATCCAAAGCAAATCACATGGCCAAACCCCAATCACATGATATAGAGGATAAGGAAGGGAACATTTCAGAACACAATGTTATCTGACAGACTGTCCTGGAAATGAGTGAAAAGGCTCAGGTATGGTTTCCTAGTGAAAATGAGGATGTTGAAAGAAACATGAGAAACCTTAGGGATTAGAGTCTAATATTTCCACTTCTGTGGGACAGATTTAATTCCACTTTTAGAGGAAGGACTTCCTGTTTTCAGGCACTCACTATAAACTTACTTGCAACTAGTTTTAAGGTGCAGGTAAAACTGTCACGTTAGTCAAGTGAGGCCTGTCACACTCCCTGAAAAGCATCTACAGCCCCTGTATTTTGTGGGGTTGTGAGAAATTCCTCTGGACCACTGAGTGAGAGTCCTTCATGAATAAACAATGGCTCATGCTATTCAAGCTGCATGTACTGTGTGTGTGTGTGTGCATGCATGTGACTATGAAGTGAATCTCATTTCGTTTGTGAGATTTAATGAAATACTGAGTATAACTGAAGCAGGCAAACTATTTCTCCAGTTATCTGTCTGTATTAGTCAACTACTCCTGTGTAACAAATTGTATTAAACAAAAGCATTTATTACCTTATATCCTGTCTATGGATCAGGAATTTAGAATCAGCTAGGCTGGGTGACTCTGGCTTTCATGAAGTTCTGGTCAGAGAGGATCAGCTGAGGGTGCAGCTACCTGCACGTAGTTGAAGGCTGGATGAAATGCTTCTAAGAGACTTGTTTGCATGCTAGAGGATCAGTGCTTGTGGATTGCAGCAGGTGTCAATTCCTGGACATGCAGGCCTCTTAATAAGGTTGCTCCAGTGTCTTCAAAGCAGACTTCTCCAATGTGAGTGATACAAAAGAGACCAAGGAACTTGGCAGTCATACTGGTCATTTTTGCTGTGTCTATATTGGTTTTACCAGGTCTGGGACTGATACTCACTGCCAAGATTTTACAAGGGTAAAAGTGTAAATACCTCCTTAAATTTTACACTATAAATGCCTCATTTGCCTTATCTTACCCCTGGTCAGCTACACAAGTCAGCTCTATTCATTGTTGGAGGGGATTATACAAAAACGGAAGTAGCAGGAGATAAGAATCACAGGGGCCATTTGGAGGCTGGTCACCACCAGATTTAAATATGACCCAAGATTCTGATCACTCAGAAGTGACTTCAGTTGGTTTGGCAGTTTGTAACTTTGGTTGTTTGAATCATCTAGGAGTCTGATGCTTGGACCTCATTCCACAGAAATTCTGATTTCATTGACATGGATTGGGATGGTCATGGTGTTTGAAAATAAAAGTCATCTAAGTTTTTCTTGTATGCGGTCAGGGATAAGTATATTGCAAATGAGTTAAATGTTTCTTTTGAGACCTAAGTCCATAGGGAATTTGCCAAAGTTATCTACCTGTTCTTCCCTCCTAGCACAGGGGTGTGGGGGGAGGTTTAGGAGATCAGAGGCAGAAGCCATATATTCACTCATTAACCTTTGCTGGGTGAGGAACAAGTCTGACTGACTAGTTCCTGTTGCAATTGTTCATAAAAGATTGGTAAGAGCAAGATTAATTTATCAGGGCCAGCGTGACTTGGAACTTTTTATTTGTTTCAAGACAGATCAAAACAGGTAGACTGAATGAATGGGAAAGTCTTCTCTAAAAAGAGAATAATGGGGATTAAATGAATTGGATTGATATTAGGCATTCTGTGTACTTTTGTCTTTCACTCTAACACACACACACACACACACATACACAGAGAGATAAGAATGAAAGAATGAGGTGAATTTTGCCTCATATAATTTTAGATATGTGGATGTTTTGTTTGTTAAGCTACTTGGTTGTTGGCTACACACCCCTTTTGAGCTTTCCTCACCCTACAGCGCAAAAACACAGACTGAACATATGGGAATAAGGGTGATGGAGGTCTAGAACTGGAGCTCTCATGAAAAACACTGTTTTTCTTCAGTAAAAATAAACAATTGTTTTTCAGTACAAAGATTAGTAACACTTTCCCTTTGGAAACTCTTTGCTAGAGTTTGGAACCCTTGCTAGAACTTTCCATTTTCTTTTTATAATTTTCCTAGTGAATACAACAAACCTCAGACATTATGATAATTTTGGCAAACAGTTTAGAATGTTGGCCCAGAGACAAGAGCTGGCATGAACATATGCTTGAAACCATTGTCCTTGTTCAGAGAATTAAAATGAAAAATCAAAATATGCAAGTATTTTTAACAATAGCAGCCTGTATTGCACTGCTTACATAAACAAGAAAATCCCTACAGATTGCCTGGGTAGCAGGCAGAATGTAGCCTCTCAGTCTTGCTTAACTTTCAGGCTTATGGAGATGAGAGGGTGAGAGGCTGGGAAAGCTTCTGACATCCATTTCAGCGGCAAAAGAAGCTTGCCTATTCACAAAACACAATACCTATCTTTCTCCTTAGGATTATAGCACAGTTTTTTGTGTGTGTGGCAGAGTCCCAGAGTGCTAGAGTGTTTCCATCTCGTGACAAGGTAGATCACTTCCAGTGGACTCTTGAATGCAGGTGTACTTGATGGGAGGTGGTGGTGGCTTGAAAGGCGGGGGTCTCTCCATGCTAAGAACAAAATATTTCTTTCAGTGTTAACAAAGTGAAGCAATGAATGAAGGATATTTTTAAATAATCATATACACTTTGTTTTGCAGTAGAAGAGAAAGACATGCTCTACAAGTTCTCTCAGAAATTTTCCTGACATAAATTTCTGTTTATTAGTGCTATCAGCTATTTGATCATGATAACAGCATTAATTAATAGTTACGCGGTAGTCTTTATTTTACAAAGCATTTTTATGATAACATAACCATGGGCTGATCCAGATGGATATAAGTCAGAAAATGAGGCTTACATTACATGCCATTTGTATCTACAAATTGGGTATTACTCTGTAGATAAAACTGACATGCTCAGTTTTTCATCCATTTGCTCAAAAGAACCAGACGTAAGTCTTTTAATCAGAACCTATATTCTCTATAGCAACTGCCTCCTAATAAAAGAAGTGTTTCTTTTCTGTGAGTTCAAATATTTATTTCAAAATTCTGGGACTAAAGACTTAAGTTTGTCAAAAACTTCTTAAGTTTTTAAAAATAGTCTTCCCTGGGCCCTCCCTGGTGGCGCAGCGGGTTAAAGCACTGCACTAAGAAGCTAAAGCCACTTCTGCAGGAGTTCGATCCCCGCCTGCCCCAGAGTGACCACATGGTGCGGCAGACCTCTCCTGACCTGCCCACTGCTCCCCTCAGCAGTGTACTTCGTCCATCTGCCTATTCTGCTCCCCACTCTGTCTCTGGTGAAGCCTCTCACCGCCCCTGAGCCTCTGGCCTGTACCCCAGTTCTGTATGCACAAATAAATAAATCTTTAAAAAAAAAAAAAAGAAGGGGCCCTCCCTGGTGGCGCAGCGGGTTGGAGCACAGCACTGAGAAGCTTAAACCACTTCCGCATGAGTTCGATCCCCGCCTGCCTGCCCCGGAGGAGATCCACATGGTGTGGCAGACCTCTCCTGACCCGCCTGCTGCTCCCCTCAGCAGTGTACTTCGTAGATCTGCCTGTTCTGCTCCCCACTCTGTCTCTGGTGAATCCTCTCACCCTCTGCATCTCTGGCCTGTACCCCAGTTCTGTATGAATAAATAAATAAATCTTTAAAAAAAGAATTATAAAAAAAGTCTTCCCCTTCCTATTCTCTATCCTCCACTGCACTCTTGGGACGTGGTAGAGACATCCCTGTTACTGGGTGAATCATGCCAGGATCCCTTCTGTTGGACTCAGTGCACCTTCCTAAAGCCACCTTTGTATGAAGTGCAGGCCCCTATTAGCATCACTCATCTCTTTGAAAAGCACCTGGTGAGCATGAGATTCAGCTGTGCAGTGGCCAGCTCTCTTGCTATCAGAAAGCAAATACATCAGTGAGCACATCAGCTACGAAGACACAATCACCTCCAACCCTGTCTGCTAATGCATGGCACCTTATTTCTTCAGGGTGAGAGAGGGGTAAATGGTAGATAGATAGATGGATGGATAGATAGAAACTCTTCCTTATTTTTACCTAGCAGTTATTTGAATTCAAAACAAAACAATTCATAATTTCAGATTCCCACTTTCTCATTTTAATATTAAAAAACCTATAATGTCGACTACTTGGCTTTCTTACATTTTAGTGGAGACTTAATATCAAAGGGCAGAAACCACTAGAAAATTTGCCCTTTCCTTTCATTTTTTTCAGAGAATTAAGAATTTCTTAAAGTTCTGTAGTAACCAAAGCATTGTCCTCAGACAAGAATCCAGAATTTCTGAATACTGAATTCGTGTTTTATTTACTCTGAATCTCTCTCTGTATGTGGTCATAGAATCTTCAAGGACAGACTGAGAAAAGAAGAAATACTGCACAATGGTCCATGTTATATTAGGTGGTAATAGTAAGAGACAGAGAATATCAGTGAAGTGTCACAAGGGCCTCCTGTAAACAGGGCCTGATCCAACTTGATAGAAGTCAGAAAGGTGAGGCTTATCCTTGTATGCCATTTCAACCTGCTGAGTGGAGGGAGAAGAATTTTGGAAAATATTTCAATGAGACAAAAAGGGGATAAGCCACTACTTTTTCTTTTTCCTTTGGAGGAAAAGGTAAAATGACAGTAAGAGCCCATTTTGCTGATAAGCACCTGGAAGCTTTTGAAAATTACCTTTCTTACTCAATTTCACACTTGAGTATCTAGACCTGGCAGGGTCCAGGCAGTTCAGAGATGCATGACAATGAAAAAAAAAATAATGAAGATTAAAAGAAAAATCAGTTCCAGTTGGGGAGGGGGTTGAGGCTTCTCATTTCATGCCCACTGACTACCCCATCTAATGTGTTACTGTCTGAACAGACAGAGGGGGAGACCAAGTCAGAAGCTGTGTGCCTGATCCCAACTGTGCAGCTCAGGACAGACTAGAGTACATCTCTGAGCCTTACTTCCTCAGGGTAAAAGTGCCCATTCCCACATATCTTAGTATCATACTCACATTTCTTTTTGATATTGATACCATTTCCTCACTGCAAGACCAAATACTATTATGAAGAATAAGAGTAATGCGGCTACACTCACTGGCCAGGGCCTCCCATCTTTGGGATTCGAATTCCCTGAAAAGGGCATAAAGAGACAGAAACATTGGCAACTGGAAAGCAGATTAATTGAACTATTTCTCCCATTTGAAACCTCGGGCATCATTGACCACAGTTATTCTCTGGGCTCATGTAAATGCCTTGTTCTCAGTTATAAGTTTACATTTATGCAATTGATTGTTGTTATTGTTAAAATGTGTCATAAATGACATTTACTTTTTATTTTCATTTCCCCAAGGTTTTAGCCATCCCTGGCAGATGAGCCCAATTTAAAGTTATTTGTAATAACTAATGAACAAATACAATAAACTGTAATGTGTATTCCAAATTGACTCCAGTAAAGAAAACTTTAAATGTGAAATAAAGGTCTGACTTTGGATTTTCTTATTTGTTTTTTTCTCCTTTTCTTTTCCTTCTTTGATTAAGGTAACATTACTTTACAACACCGTCTAGGTACATTTTTCTCACCACACCATCTACACCAAATGTATAGTCACCGCCTACCACTAAGATTCTATACTGGTAAAAAGGTCGAAAATGACATTTTAATTCCAAAATTTTAAAGAAAAAAAAAAACAGGGGTTTTTCAATAGGTCTTAGATCAATGTTAATACTTTATATCCCGCTAAGATATAGAAAATGTGACCACTGACTTCAGGAACGATTTAATAAAGCAAAAGTGTCCCAGTCTTCCCAGCCACTGAATTCTGCAGTTCTTTAAGGTACCAGGGTCTTAAAAATAATGATAGGGCCAGACCTTGTCTGTGGTGCAGCGAGTTAAAGCACAACACTAAGAAGCTAAAGCCACTTCAGCATGAGTTCGATCCCCAAACTGGAGGAGATCAACATGGTGTGGCGGACCTCTCCTGACCCGCCCCCTGCTCCCCTCAGTATCAGACAGTACTTTGTCGATCTGCTTGTTCTGCTTCCCACTCTGTCTCTGGTGAATCCTCTCACCACCCCTGCACCTCCGGACATTACCCCAGTTCTGTATGCATAAGTAAATAAATCTTTAAAAAAAGGTTGGTAGGGCCCCAGTTTTCAGTTCTATGCTCAATTGTATGCAGGGTGACCCTCCAATGATCTGAAAACGGTGTGACCTTTAAGATAAAATCTGTTGAGAGTTCACCAGTCAAAGGAGTATATCACTGAAGTGAGAGGTGAGTATACTTCTGAATTTATAATCATTATTTGTATTAGGACATCCTAATGATATCAAATCCTTTGCCTTACAGATTGAAAAAAAAAAAGATTATGCTTTGTATTAACAACATTTTATCAGTTAAATTATGTTCCAACATTTTGGTTCCTCAGACTGTATTTTCACAATTTTGAAAAGTTTCTCATTGCTTTCACCTGGTAATTCTTCATATTTTAAATTTTAATTTAAATTTATCCCCAGAGAGGGTTTTTCCTGTCCTCAACTATAATAAAGTCTTTCTGTTAGATTCTGCTAATACCATGTGTTGTAGCCTAGCATTTGCCACAACTAAATTTAATTTTATGATTATTAACTTACTATTATAATCTTAGGAGACCAGTGTTTATATTGTAGATCCAAAACTGCCATTGTGTTTGTCAATAGTAGGCACTCAATAATACCCCCAAATATGGTAAATGACTCACCAGAGGTATAGTTCTTGTTTTCAGTAGATACATTGGCAATGGTGGGAACTTCTGAAAATTCTCTAGTTGTGCTAGAGAATTCTCTAGTTGTGAGGACATCATCTAGGGACATAAAGGAGATATCTGAACTGATCCATAGCTAACTAGACTATAGCATGGTATAAAATCATGATTGAATTTCATTTGTTACTGGGGAGGTTCAGTTTGAATAGCCTAAAAGTTCCTAAAACACTATAAACTAAGTTTACAAAGGACAATTTAGGGTTCTGGTATCTAACAGTTACTAGAAGAATGAAATTTACTATTGATTTGAGGAATCAGAGAGAAACCATATAGCATAGAACAACTAAATAATATCTCCATGAGATATTTAAATGGCTATGGGAGAATATCTTAAATTGGGGTAATGGAAAGATGAGGCCTTATTCCTATTTTTCCAGACTACCAAAGGTCCAGCCATTCAACATACTTATTTTTTACACCCTAATGTATTTGATAAGGCCAAGAGAAATTCTTTGGCTATGCTTGAGTAGATAAAACCTACTGACTAGTCATTTCATTTTCAGATGGAAAATTAAAAATTGAAATGTAGTTTTAGAGATTTAATTGGCAAAATGTTATGATATAAATTTTTATTTTGAAATAAAACAGAAAAATGCATGAGTTAGTCCCTGGCTATCTTTTTTGAGTGACCAGGAAGATTTTTATTTTATTCATTGTCATTTTCATCATTCTTAAATTCCTGTCTGAGACTGGCTTCCTCCTAGTTCTTGCTTTACTAGTTCTGTCCAGATAAAGCAAACCACTACCTTCCCTCACCCTATGTCTTATCCAATTACTCACCATGAAGTGTCAAGGCTGCACTTGAGGGAGGTGAACTGTATGTTTCACTGGGCATCCATGAAACTGCATAAAGAAGAAAATATTTTTAAGAGATTCATTGTCTGTTCTTGACCTTTAATTGAAACTAATAATTTTGGGGAAAGGATACTAAGGAATTCTTAAAGTAAGATCATTGAAATACTCTGTATACACATTAGAATATCCCCCAGTAGAATTGGAGCTGAGAGAAGGCTGTGATCCAATGTCTCTAATAGGGGAGATTTTAATCTTTGTCGCTTAGAAGCGGGATGAAGAAATAGAAGAAAAACTTTAGAAGAGTTTCTTCCAGGCCAGAGTGTGTTCTGATTGCTCTCATGTCCATTCTACCATCTAAAAATAAAAGAAAATGAAACCCAGATGTGTTATAGAGTACTTTAGTTAAGAAAAGGCTCCAATAGAACTTTGAAATCTTGGTAGAACATTCACCAGGGAACAAAATAATTTGTAGTGCAGGTGACATTTGTTGTTTTACTGTGAAAACTTAACTGTGCTAACAATAAATTATCAGGACGCTTTGGCCAAAGGCCTGAAGAGCATCTGGGTGAGCCCCTTTTAAGCATTTCAAGGCAGACCTTACCCTTGAGTGGATGGCAGTGAACTCAGATAGCACATATGGCTTTTGAAATAGCTCTATTGACTCATTTTGTTGAATGCCCCATCCCTGGCAAGAAAGACCTACTTCTTGGCAGGCTCCACATATCCCTATTTGATAACAGGTCTATAATGTAATGTAAAGTGAAATAGCTACAGCAGTACATGGTTGCAATCACTAGACAGACATTATGCTCATTTATTTAAAACATTAGCATATGTGATTTTCCCTCCATTTTGCTGTGTTCTTGCATGTTAAGGCCAAAATAAACCAAAACCAATAAAAGCAAACCCAAAGTAAGCCAAAACAAATATTAAAATTCCACTAAGCCCTCCCTTTTCTTAATTTCTCCTGAGATGTCAATGATAATTGCAGCTGCAGAAAAGGCAGGTTATCAGGCCCTTCAGAAAAGGTGTTAACTCAACGCTTTCTATAGATTGTTAACAGGACAGCCCATTATAGCTATTTCCACTTGGGGTCATATAAGAGTAAGGGTTGCTTATTATCAGCAAGTCAATATGAAACATTTTATAATGGTCATTTACACATGGATAACAATAGTTTTTTCGCCAAATACCATGCCAATCTTTTCTGATTAGTACTCATTTTCCTAAAAGAGAATAACTAAGCATAACACAATTATAGGAGAAGGTAATATAATCAACATGATCCATTAAAATTATAAAAATATCAATAGTTAAAGTTATGCAAACTGTTCACCAACTTCATAAAACTTGTTTTGTACTTCTAGGAATTTTTAGTATAAGGAGACTCCTAAAAGTGTGTGATAAAATTAAATGACAAAGCCTATTTTAGAAAATTTAGAATTAAGAATTATTCAGAATTAATTGAACAACGTAAAGGAAAAACTTCAAGCCCAGTAATATTTTAAGTAAAAGCTGAAAATATAAGCATAGGTATCAATTGTTCTCACAGAAGAACATTCTTCTGAAAGTGTGTTTGTTTATATAGTCCCTTCAGTAAGATATAGTTGACTACTTCCAATGATTTATCTTTCACTAAAACAAAACTATCTATAATTTAGAAACCAAATTTTCAGCATGAATTCCATGTTGGCTAATCCATCTGCCACTTTTCAGTCTCTGAGATTCTCACAGTAGAATTATGTTGTTATTGTCTTTTTAATTAATTATAATAGTCTGTTTTTCAAAGCATCATCATGTTTAAATACTTAATTCTTCTTTAAATTCTTTGAGAAACCATTTTCATCAATATTCATAAATGAAAATACTTTGTTATGTGGATGATAAACACCAGCTTGAAGGATAAACTCTTCTAGTAAGTTACCATTGTGAAAATGTGAACTCAGGGCATCGTGCTATAGGAGTTTCTCAAATTAAACTGTTAAAGCCTTTCTTGAGCATAACACTGGATTATTCTCCAATTTCTTTAAGTTTATCTTTTAGTAAAGTTTTTCAGCAAGAAAGCTATGTGACTTAACATACCTTTCTATGAAAAAGTTACTTCTCTTTTATGGTAAAAACAGGAATAGCTCAAAAGAATAGTGTTTTTTGCCTTTTGTTCCAATGACATTTTTTACATTCATATGTAGTCATTTTACAGGTATTGATAATATTGTCACATATTAGGCATCGTGTCCTTTTGTAGATAAATATATTGAGTGTTATATGAAGTGTGAATATCTGAAGGGGTTTTTTTGGATAAAAGCACAGACAAATTTCATTATCCTTTTGATAAAAGCACAGATAAACTTCATTATTCTTGTAGGTAGGAGTTAGTGAGCCGAACTTCTCTGGAATCTGTCATAATTTTGTATTACAACATTTTCCTGGTTGTCCAGTCTTCATTAAGGCACATTGAACCCCAGAACAACAGCATAGGTGGAAGAGTTTGGATAAAGGGGTCTCAACAGTCCAGTCTTCTAGACCCATCTTTCTCTCCATGAGCATGAAGTGGGCCAGCACCACCATGTCCACTCTTGCCACAACCACCTAGTCCACATATGAGCCTCTCATACTTCTGTGACCTTGAGAAGAAGGCAGCACTAATGAGCATTGGAAGTGTAGAGCTTGTGTACTTGCTAGGGAGGAACTCACTGGCCCCTAGAAATTGATATTTTTTCAAACAGGATAGAATTTTAAACCACAGGAATTTTAAATGCTTAATTTGAAACTAACTTAATCAGGAGAATGGGTGGACAGTGCTTCAGACCACTGTTCATGAAAATGGAATGAAATGTGATACAGGACATGTGAGATTTTTAGAAACTGAGGTCAAGAGAGGTGATTTTAGAGAATCATCTGGCAGGGAACAGAGAAACTTCCGGGGTTATCATGTAACCTGACATGGAAGCAGGGTCCACCATTGCTGTGGGTCTTGCCTCTGCTATGCCCTCTACTCCTCAACTAACTTTTCCATCACACTCTGCCTATGGAAAGCAGTATGTTATGAAATTATTAGGCCCAGCTTCCTAGAACCTTAGAGGAATCATTCAGGATCTATAACAGGATTTAAGTAGAACACGTAAATTTTAAGGAAGAAGGAAGGCATTGACAAAGAACAGAATAAAGACTCCACTGTAAGTCAGTAAGGGGTACACAGAAACCCAGATATGTGTGCATGTGGGTGTGGTGACAGTGTGCTCGTTGACTTTGGTAAGTGGGCCAATTGGAGTCCTGGGTTTCCATGGAGATTCATCCATTTTTCTGCCAGTCTAAGTTAAACAGATTGATTTCATTGTGGCTTTAGGCCCTCTGAAGCAGATGGATGGCAGGGCAAACCAGGAAGACAAAAATAATTAAGTTTCAATTTTCTGCCTCATGGCCTGATCACCAGTGTCAGGATGAAAATATGCCCCAATATGTTATTAACCTTTTTACATTTGGGATTTTGGGTGGTCATATTTGGTATTCCCATTTCATTAATGGTTAAAGTAAAACATGCCTTTTTAGTCTAAATTATAGGATAATTAGAAGCTAAAAAGCAATTAGAATCCTATAATCTAAAACCCATGCAACTCTTCTTGTTAAAAACCATTAACAAAAAGAATGTATTAAAACACATATTTATAAATTTAGTATATATGCAATGTACTCAGAATCTTCTAGTGACATCAAGTATTAATGAGCTAGACAAAATACAGGGGGAGGCAAATATTACATAGAACATGTTTATAAATAGCAAGGTCACTAAAAATAATTTTCAGTGGGTTTATTTCATCAGAAATCCATCCATATCATTCTTTTTTTCTGACTCTGAACATTACATAAATATCCTCTGAAATAAATATACTGGAAGAAAAAGAAATCCCATTACCAATGCCTGTCATGTATCTTGCCAAATGAATCTAATACTGGATGTCACATTTTAGTCCAATCCAGCAAGTAAAAACATGTTTCAAAAACAGTTTTTGGAGTGAGCAATCAATATTGACTGTTGGATCCTATGTGTTTTTGTAAATGACTATAAATATAGTAACTCACTGCAGAGAAATATGGATGAGAAATGACAAGCAGTTGACAAGAACTTATCCTTATATGAGTAAAAGGTGGGCTTTTACTGCCAGGGAAAATTTGTTGGCTTTTAGACTTCTTCCTAGATTTACAATTCATTAGGCTATTTGTATGGTAATATGATAATGGGGGATCTAAGGATAAAGCTATCTGAAGATTTCAAGTGGAGAAGGACAGAAATGTGAAGGATTACAATGAAACCCATTAAAAAGACCAAATATACACTTGCATAAGAGGCACTTCATAAAAGTTAAATTTTACTGAGGTAACACTGGTTTATCATATTCTAGGCTTCAGTTTACAGCATTTTAATTCAAGCTCTATATAGAATGATCACCAATAACAAACTAATGTCATTTTGCACTGATATTTTTGCTTTTGACATAAATATCTAAATAGTGAGGCCATTTTTATGCAATATACATGGTACTGATGTTTTAATGCTCTTTTCTTATAGATAATAGAAGTTGCTGAATGCATTTGCTAACCATTCTCTTCTTTTCACTGCCATCTGCCATGTTGACTTCAACATATCTCAAAGTTCTACTTATCTGTGGGCCTCTGTGTGCCCTCACTTCTGTTACTGCCTCTTCTGTCTTATACTTGGGCATTGAGCTCACAAGCTTCTACTCTGTTACTGATATATTTGTTAAAAGAACTATTTTACATTACATTATAGAAGATCAGGCACAAATTAATAATGAAAATGTGTCATGAATTAAAGATTAGGAATAATACAAGTATGTGAACCTGAGATCCATAAAAAAAGACTACATAAATATTGCTACAAAAAGCAGTATTATATTATATATGCTCCTTTCAGCTCCATGATTTGTTTCCAAGAAGTTTCCAACAGAAATGACTGAACCTGTGGCTATTGAAGGCTTTGAAAGGTTTTAAGTAATTAACTTAAAAGAGTTTTAATAGCTGTGGCTTCCAAGTTCTTCTCTTATTGCTCCAACCACTTCCCTACCATATTTTCTTTACCTAACATCACTCAAGCCAGTATATTTCTGGTTCAGACCCTGTTCATACTTGCCAAAGCTACATCAGCAGATGCTGCTGCTACTAGCCAGATGAAAAGTAACAGACCATTTCTGGACCGCACATGGGCTCTTTCTCTCCATTTTCTCCATGGCATGCATATTGTGGCTGGCATGCTTCTTCATTTTCTGCTCACTGTTCATCCTTTTATCGCCACAAATTTTATCTATACTCAGACATCACTTTCTTCATTAAGGCTTTTCAAGACCACCTCATTTAGCATTGTAATCCACCCTCACTCTTGATTCTCATTGTCTCTCTTTATTGCTTTGTTTTTTTCCATACCACCTATCACTATTAATCTGTTTCTCTTCCACCGGAACTTAGATCTATTTATATATAGATAGAATTCCAAGCCCTAAAACAATGCTTTAAGTAATTACAAACGTGCTTTGTAATTGTTTTTAATATGATTTATGAACAAAGCACATAGCAGTTGTTCAACAGATGTATTGGGTGAAAAAATGAGGCCTGCAGACACCAAGGGAGTCAATAATACTTACAGTTGCTGGCATCTGTCCCACTGGGGGTCCATGAGTAGTTGAAACCTTGGGTAGTCACACTGGAATTGCTGGCTGAAAGGCAAAATTTTTCAGAGTCAGTCTTTTAATAAAGCTGTAATTTAGCTTTACTTTGATGTGCTAAACTTTTTAATCTATGTGACCCTGGGGAAATCTGAAGTTGAAAACAGGTTTCTCTTCAAAACCCTAGTTGGGATACTAAACAAAAGTTTGCTAGTTATTTTATGACAACTTGTCACTACTTCACTTTCTTTTTCTGTTTTGTCACCAATTCAGATCACTGGGAGTAATGTCAAGATTACTTTAATATTTCCTTAATATTCCATGACAAATGAAAGGTAAAATATAATAACAAATCAACAGCTCTTGTTTTTAAGAATGTGGTGATTGTCATAGCAATATATAGTTATCAGATTACAGTTGCTATAGAGAAACTCAAAACTAAGTTATCAACATTAAATGAAAAAAAAATCCCATGATTCTCATGATTATGTAGTAGAAACCTATGAAAGTGCCATCCCTTTTGAGTTTTAAGAAGAAAATCTCCCATACTCACTTTGAGGAGTAGTTTCTGGAGTTGATGAACTCATGTCTGCAAAGCTTATTGAAGGTGTGCCTGGATATCCTATTTTGGAAACAAAATTCCCAGTTGTTATAGGTGTTTACATCCATATATCTAACCAGAGCATAGAATACTAGTGTTGGAAAGAAAAAATAATCTAATGGTTTCATAATGGTTTCATTTTATAAAAGATGGAGCTGAGTCAAAAGAGTTATATACTAAAAAAAAAAAAAAAAAGGTATATACTTGGGGTTACATATTCAATATTCAACATTATTCATTTTAGAGTAACTGAGTTCTCCTAACTCCAAGTGTGTTTCACTCACACTTCTAAAATACATTTTTTCAGTGTTTATTGTTGCCATACCCTATTCTATATATAATGACCATTGAAAATAAGATTCCTGCCTTCATGGAACTTAGCTTGCATTGAATATTCAGATTTTATACAATCTCTTCATACTGAATATGGTTTCATATTTATTTCAATCCTAAATTTTAGAGTCATCTCCATCTTTATAATCCATCATTTCCCATCCTTCTCTATTTTTCCCCCATTCAAATAAAAGACTAATTTATATTTTCTTGAAAATATTTTTGGGAATGAAACAAGTAGATGGAAATGGGAAAAGTATGTAATCATACTCCACTGAAAATGTGTTTATATCTCTTGGGAATACAAATTCTTGACATATTTTATGTATGTACATTTCTCCTTTTTTCTAAATTATTTTTTTTAAAGATTTATTTATTTGTGCATACAGAACTGGGGTACAGGCCAGAGGCTCAGGGGCGGTGAGAGGCTTCACCAGAGACAAAGCGGGGAACAGAACAGGCAGATGGACAAAGTACACTGCTGAGGGGAGCAGTGGACGGGTCAGGAGAGGTCTGCCGCACCATGTGGTCACCTCCAGGGCAGGCGGGAATCGAACTCATGCGGAAGAGGCCCTAGATTCTCAGTGCTGTGCTTTAACCCACTGCGCCACCAGGGAGGGCCATTTTCTAAATTATTTTTAAAGTGACTTACATAACTATGCAATACAAGAAGAGAAAAATAGAAAAAATAAAGGTAAGGAAAAAAGTTAGAAGCATGTTAAGTTCCACTGTAACCTGAGGGGGGCTAGTACATAAAATCCACTTAATGTTGTGTACTCTTGATAAATACGATAGCATATTTGGACAGAACTTTCTAGTAACGATGTTAAGAAATAAAGTGTATATCTTATCTAATACTATTGATGGATAACAAAACAGCAGAGTCAAATTTCAAGAGAGATTTCTCTTATTCCTTATAAAGAGAACACTGTATTATGTATACCAGATCTCCAACAATATTCATATACTGTGACAGCCAATATGCTCATTCACCTTTATGCTTTAGCCATCACTGAATGACACCCCAGCTACCCAGGTACCTCAAGTCTGGAGAAAGACATGCCTTAAATAGAAAACATGGTAATTAAATCTCTTAAAAATGTATATGGAGACTAAACTAGCTTTGCAGTTTATGCATATAGAAATAGCTCATAAGCAGAGGGGATCAACAACTAATTTTCAATATAACCTGCCATTGAAATGAAGACTTGCTATTTCTCAACTCTGTGAATTTAGTCAGACATGGGCCCTGTGTTAGAGGCTGCCTCAGAGGCTGCTATGTGAGGAATGCCATGGGCAGCCAGCTTCAGGCCAGTGTTTACAGACACTATACGCTCAGCTTCACTTATGTGATAAATACCGAGTACTTTGTGCACACTAGAATTGGGGATGAAATTAAGAGAAAGAAATTAAGCCCTTGCCCTCATGAAATAAACGGTTTAATAAGAATAGAGGTCAATGTGACAGGTCACCAATCCATTCCTCTTATTTTTTTTTTCTGGCTCTATTTTATTATACTGTTTACTTTTGGCATTGGCATCCATTTTAAAAGTAAATTAACATTGCACTATAACAGTATATAAGTTTTAGCTGTACATCATTAAAAATCACCAGTGTGTATCCAGTTCTCTCTTTTTTTTAAAGATTTATTTGTTTATATATACCAGAGCTGGGGTGTAGGCCACAGGTTCCAGGGGTGAGAGGATTCACCAGAGACAAAGTGGGGAGTAGAACAGGCAGATGGACTGAAACACACTGCTGAGGGGAGCAGGGGGAGACAGTAGAGGCCTGCTGTGCCAGGTGGGTCAGCTCCCTCCCTGGGGATTAAAAGTATGCTGCATTGGCTGCCAATAGCTTTGTAGTGCTGAGACTTAACCCCTTGCTGCCACCAAGGAGGCCCCTGAGTCCTCTTTGTCTGGTTCAGAAAAGCTGTATTTCCTAGCCACCCCTGCAGGTAGGTGTGGCCATTTACTGAGTCCTGGCTGATGGAAAGAGAGTGGAGGTGAACATTGTTGTTTCAAAGCCTGGCCTAAAAATCCTCCCACAAAAGATCTTTTATGATTTTTGCCTCACATGCCATCCAGATATAATGTCACAGCTTAAAGGTGACAGGGCTCATGCAGCCTGGGTTCTTTCATGGTGGTGGAACACAATGCCCAGCCACTGGCTTGGCCCTTGTGGGCCCATTCCAAAAGGATAAATGAGCTTTTATATCAAGTATAAATGCACACAATACAATTCTAGAGTTTGTTGTTATAAAATTTTGCTTTTTTTCCCTTGCAGACAGTGAAAGCATAATCACACTACAAGTTGATAAGCACGGAGGTGGGAATGCAGATTCCAGAGGAAGAAAGATTAACCAAGGTATGGGGAGGTCAGGGAAGGCTTTCCAGAGGAAGTGACCTATTAACTAAGCCTGAGGGATGGTAGACATTAGTGAGACGAGTTAGGATGGGGAAAAAGAAGAAAGGGAGAATCAAGAAGTGCTGTTCCAGCACTGTGAACAGAAAAGGGGGGCTGAACAGAATCAGTTCAAAATGTTGGTGGCTTTCTGTGCAAAGGGATGAGGATAGAAAGGATATATATATATATATATATATACACACACACACATATATATATATGTATATATATATATATATGGATATGGATATATAGGGATCCCTATATACATACATACATACATACATACATACATACATACATACATATATATATATATATATATATATATATCCCTAAGACTTCATGGAAGACATTCAGCTGACCCTTATAAGATTCTTTAACCCAGTGACAACTCATTTGTGGCCTAGACAGTGAAGGCTATACTGAAGAAAAGACGATAAGCTTACCACATGGACTTGACTGGAGTTGGTGATAATTGAATGCAAGAAATAAAGAAATAGACAAAAATAATCTCCATTTTTTCTGACTTGAGCAGATTTTTGAATTATGCATCATTAAGAAAATAAACAAAGAAGTTTTGGAGGTGGCTAGAGGCATGAAGATGACTTCAATTTTGAGCAGATTGATTTTCAGTGCATATGAGACATTCATTTCCAGCAGCAGGTTAACCACAAGTTTCAATTTTAGGAGTGAAACTGGCTACCAGTATGTATCTGTGAGCCCCTAGTATGTCGACAAAATTGGAACAGCAAGGAGGGTAGGTACAGGAGGAAGAGAAGTGGGCCTGGGGTGTAACACTGAGAACTGCTTTGCCTGATAGAGGAAGAGGGAATCAAAAAGGAGTCACAGAGGCCAGGAGAAACTGAGGGGCATGTGATGTTAGAGAAGCCACGATGACAACAGGTTACCAGAAGCAGGGTAAGACAGTCCAAATCAGCAAATATTTGCTGGTGAACACTTTGTCCAGATGCCGGCTCAGAGGTGTCACGTCCTGTCAAGAGGAGAGGTTTCCACAGAGCTCTTAACTGCCAGGAAGTCTGCACTGCACCCAATGACCTGCACAGGGAGTCTAGTAGACAGATTTGCAAACCACAGATTTCCGAAGGTAGTGTAGCTTAGTTATTAAAAGCATGAATTCCAGAGCCAGATTCCCTGATGAACCCTGGCTTGGTTCTAAGTTAGAAGCATGATCTTGGGAAAATCTATTGATTTTTTTTTCTTCTTCAAATCCCTCACTTGGAAAGTAACAGTATATTTCTAGTAGGGTAATTGCAAAGATTGAGAGTCACACATCAAGTACTTAGAAGGGTGCCTGGCATGAGGTAAGTGCTAAAAAGTAATCTTAGAAGCCATAAAATGGGTCATCTGCAGTTTAGCTTAGGTGTCAAAAATATAAGTGCATCCTAGAGCCAGGAGACTTGAATCTTCTGATGAGTTCTACAATTACCCCATTTCCCTTGATTTTTCTAGGAGATTAATTCAAGATAACTAATCCTCCACCCCCAGGCTGCCTCAAATTAAGAATATTCCAAAATGTTGCACCATGAAAGAGCTAATTGTCAAAGGTGAAGAGACTCGTGGTTTGCTGGGGCATTGGCTTTATGATGGGATAGTAATTTCTACTGATGCTATCACCTGTAATTCTCCCTCTCTTTAACCTCACTGAGCTCCAGTAAGTAATTAAGATTTTTGAGCAGGAAGTTCTGGCTCCAGCCACCCTCCATTTATTAACATTATAGGCTTGGGGGGGGGGGGTTTAACCACAAGATTTTATAACATGAAACATTTTTAGATTAAGAGCTGAGTTTTGTATCACGTTTCAGTCACTGCAAAATTGGTATTACAGCACTGAGCACTGGCATTTTCCCACTGGCACACATTGGCCTGAAGACTAATTGCAGGGTTGTTGGAAGAGGTCAAGGCTCACTTAAGGCTATTAAGGGTGTTGCTGGGGCTCTGCTCCACTGCGCCCTCTAGAGGAGAGCCTAGCAGTCATCGTCTCCACATCAAGAGCAGCTGTGCTTTCTCTTGGTCCACTGGGGGTTCATTGTGATTTCATGAACCTATGGAGCAGAGTGAATTTGAATTTTATTTCTCTCACTGGGATGGTTTTATTTTTGTTCCTCTCTACAACCATTTCTCCAGTTCCTTCTTTTTAAAATTTTGTATTGTATTATTACACCCATGAAGTTATATCCTAATTGGAGCAAGGCAAAGTAAAAAAAAAAAAATGTGCAGAAATGAACACTTTGGATAGTAAGAGATATGATATATTTCCCAAT